GACTCAAAGGCAACTGGTGTTTTGGTTATTCTTAAAGAGGCCTCTAGGAATCGGACCCCTCAGAACTTGAGATTTATGGCCTCAGAAACGTTGCCTTAATTAAATGGGGACAGTAATAGTACCTGCCTCAGAGAGTCGATATGAGAGTTAATCCTCATGATTAATATTTGGTCAATGGCCTCAGAAGTTTTGTCTTAATTAACCCACCAACCAGCTGCAATCGAGTTGATTCCGACGACCCCATTCATGGCGACCTCGTGTGTGTTACAACAGAACTGTGCTCCATATGGTTTTCACTGGGCTGATTTTTCAGAAGCAGATCACCAAGCCTTCCTTCTAAGGTGCCTCTGGGTGCATTCGAACAGCTAACCTTTCGGTTAGTAGCTGAGGGTTTAACCTTTTGCACCACCCACGGACTCTTTGTCTTAATTAAACGGGGCAATAACAGTACATGTGTCACAGAGTTGATATGAAGGTTAACCCTCGTCAGTCACATTTGTAAGCTCTTAGAAGAGATTTCGTCACAGAGTGATGCCATGCCCGCCTCCTCATAACTCCACGAGTCAGGTGAAACCAAGGCTCTGAGAGGCTAAGTGACTTGCCTGGGTCGCATAGGCAGCTGGCAGCAGAAGCAGGTTTGCCAGCCCCTTTGCCCGGCCCCACGGGGGCGTCTGGCCCTCCAGCTGATCCACCTTATGGTCTGGGGCCAGGCCATCAGCCTTCTTGCGCCTGGTTTCTTCATCTGTAGAATGGGGGTGGAAGGTTTGCAATGTGATGAGGTTTCTAAGGTGATGAGGCCGTAGCCTGCTGTGTGGTTAGCATAGTGGTCCTTGAAGGTCCCTGGGGGGACCGTTTGCGCTTGACTACTAACCTAAAGTCTGGTGGTTTGGACCCACCCAGCAGCGCCTCGGAAGAAAGACCTGGTGATCCGCTTCTGTAAAGAAAACCCTACGGAGCAGTTCTACTCTGTTAACACATGGGGTCGCAGTCAGTCAGAATCGAGTGGCCAGCAACAGGGTTGGGGCTTTTTGGGTTTTTTTAGTGATCTTTGTTACCATCGGGTTCAGACCAAAGTGTGGCAAACCACTCTCCCCTCCCACCACCACGTGCCCCTCAGTCCTGACGATGCCTAGGGAGGCTGCCTTTTTCCTCTTCCATCTCCCGGAGGGTCCCAGGAAGGTGGGAGGCCTGGAACCTCTGCCCCTGGGGGGCTGCCTGTGCACTGAGAGCCCACCCACCTGCCCCCTCTCCTTTGTGCTTTTGCTGTGCGTGAGCTGCCCCAGTGCTAGATTGCCCGGCAGTGTCTCCTTGGCCAGCCCTGGGCCCCACGGTTTATCTTTCAGTTTTGTGCCAACTCTGAGCCCCACTAGGTTGAAGCTTCTTGAGGATGGGGTCCTATGTCTGTGCCCAGTTCTGGATGTCTTTACGTAAAGGAGAACAGTGGGCACAGGAAAACAATGGGCGCAGGAAAACAATGGGCAAAGGAGAACAATGGGTAATCGGTAAAGGAGAACAATGGGTGTGCGTCAACTGGGTGTTCAGGAAGGTAGGGGGGTGTGGGGGGAAGTTGTTGTCTTATCCACCCTGGGGGCAGCAGCTGGGAAGGGGCTAGAGGAGGAGCCCAGCTCTATACAACTGGATTCTGGGCCCAGGAGTCTGGGCAGCCAACCTGAGGCTTGGGCAGAAAGGGGACTTAGCAGCCCCCAGTAGAGAATTGGCAGACCTTTTGAGGGACCCCACTGGTGGGGCCTAGGAGGGCCTGGGTGTCCTGAAACACCCTGCATGCGGTCCTCCAGATCCACACGGTCTCAGCAGGCATGTTTGTGTCGGGGCAGGTCTGACTCTCCCCGACCTTCCCGTGCTGTCCGCCCTCACCTTAACCGCAGTCTGTCTTCTTCCTCCAGCTCAGTGGCAGCCACTGAGAAGAAGGCAGTGACACCGGCTCCTCCGATGAAGCAGTGGGAACTGTCCCAGGACCAGCCCTACCTCTGACCCTCTGCCCAGGGTACCCGAGTACTTCTTCGCCTCCTGGGATCCCCTCTGGGGAGAATGTGACCTAATTTATGACAAATAGATCGGGCTCCATGATCACTTCTGTTTTCACTTTTTAAGCGTCCTGAGGCTTACTCAGACTTTGGGATGCAGTTGGCACCGACTCCCCTAACTTTGCCTGTCTCCAGGGTGGGAGGGGGATACGATCCTTATGCTCTAGGTGACACGCCATCCCCAGGGCAGAGTTAGACGACGTGGCGTAGGGGGCCTAGAGATGTCACTGGCTGTCTTAGTCACCAAGTGCTGCTGGAACAGAAAAAAACAAACCAAAGTGGGTGACTTTAAAGAACAGGAACTTATTTCCTCACAGTTCTGGAGAGTGGAATTCTGAATTCAGGATGTGCCTCTAGGGGGAGGTCCTTTATCCATTTGAGCTTCTAGTAGCTGCTTGCAATTTTGATGTTCTGGGCTTGCAGATGCATCTGCCGTGTGTCTGTCTTCATATGGCGTCTTACCCCTGTGTTCCTGTATCTTTTCTGCTCTTTTTATAACTCAGAAGCTAGTAGGTTTAGGACCCACCCTGCGCTGGTTTGAGCTTGTTAACATAACAAAAGAAAAGCCTTGTTTCCCAACGATTCCATCCACCGGACCAGGACTGGGGGACACGTTCAATCCACAACACTGGCCCTTCCCGAAGGCCTGGCTTACCCCCTGAGGGCTTGGGTTCCAGAAGCTCTGGGCTTTGGGGAGCATGGCTAGGTGGGAGGAGGAGACAGCTCAGGTAGAGCTCACCAGCTGTTGCTCCTGGGGGCATTCTTGATCCTGGCAGCCCAGCAGCTCAGCAGGGGGGGCGGCAGCCAATCAGAAGGAGAGGGCAGTGGGGGTTGGGGGAAGGGGTTACCCTCAGGGAAGATGGCCTCCTGAGCCAGAATGTTTATGCTAGGGCCGGAGGGGTGAGAACAGTGTGTGTGTGTCTGTGTGTCTGTGTGTGTGGTGGGAAAATGGCCTCCTGAGCCAGAACGTTTATTCTACGGCCGGAGGGGTGAGGACTGTGTGTGTGTGTCTGTGTGTCTGTGTCTCTGTGTGTGTCTCTGTGTGTGTCTGTGTCTGTGTGTGTGTGTGTGTGTGTGTGTCTGTGTGTCTGTGTGTGTCTGTGTGTGTGTGTGTCTGTCTGTGTGTCTCTGTGTCTGTGTGTGTGTGGTGGGAAAATGGCCTCTTGAGCCAGAATGTTGATGCTAGGGCTTGAGGGGTGAGGACAGTGCAGGGGTGGGAGGGAGTTAACCTGGGGAAGGAAGGAGGAGTGAGCAGGAGAGGGAAAGCTGACGGCAGGAGCAGTGGGAGCAATGACCTTAAACTGGGGGTGTGGTGTACCCATGGAAGAGCCCTGCAACCCCTCAGTAGGTGGTGGGCCCAGTGGGGGATTAAAGAGTGTTGAGACTACTGCATTGCACATGCAGGTTGTCCTAGAGGCGGCCCTGAAATCCCAAGCAGTCACAAGACCTACTAGGATGAGGACCCCAACCAGTAGTGTCAACCCCCCATGGGTTCCTCGTCCATCTAGTCCTCTCAGGTGGTACACACTTGACACAAAATATTGGCAAATGAAAGCCAGCAAACAGCAGGAACAGTTGTGTGGTGAGTTGGTCCCCCCGGGCTCAAAAGGCTGTCCAGGTGGAAGGGAGACTTCTGCAGGAGCCCCGTGGTGCATGGTAGGAGAGAGACTCTGAAGGCCCTCCCCCAGCCGGTTTTATACTCCAAGGGCTACTTGGCTACCTGGCTTCCTGCATGGCGTACAATCAGATTTCCTGGTCTGACCATCAAGGAGGGGTATGGTTAGACATCTGGGCACCAGCCTGGAATTATATTTCTTTAGCTCTGTTGCTTATCTGAAAGCTTAGAGCAATGCAAGGCAAAGTCACAGTCCCAGGCAAGACATCTAAGTGCCCCAAAGTAGACGCTACAAAGTTTAAAAGCTCATTAGAGGGAGAAAGCCTTGGGGGCTGAAGTATCCGGGGAAGGCTTACTGGAGGAGGTGGCATTCTGGTTGGGGCAAAAGGACGAGTCAGATTCAAAAGGTAGGTCAAGAAGGAGAGACAGGCTGTGTCCTGGTACAGAGGCCACAAGGAGGATAGTCCTGGAGAGACCCAAGCAAGATGTGCCATGGAAGGTTTCTGAATAAAGCTTTATGGCCTGGACTTGGAATATGATGTGAAAGAGACCCCCTCCCAGTACCTCCTGCGTGCCAGACACTGTTCTGAACACCTTGTATCCCTGAGCTCCTCTAATTCCCTAGCAACCTTGGGAGGTAGTCACTGATGTACCTACCCTCTTGACAGAGGAAGAGCTAAGGCCTAGAGAGACGGAGAGCTTGCCCTAGCTCACAGAGAGCTGACAAATCTCACACAACCACTACATGTCACCTCTGCAAATCCACAGCTTCTTCAGCTTTTATCCTTTGACCCCAGATGCCTATGTTACTAAGATCCTGAGCCTCAAAGATGGGATGCTACCCTAGATTATGGAAAAAATATACTGTATATACTCTGAAAATAACTTGTTAGGGATTGAATTGTGTTCCCCTCTCCTCCCCACCCCCCCAAAAAAAAAATGTGTTGGAATCCTAACCCCTATTCCTGTGGATATAATACTGTTTGGTGATAGAGTTTTTCTTTGTTACGTTCATTAATCATAAGTAAGTACCAAAACCAAAACTCGTTGCCACTGAGTCGATTCTAACTCATAGCGACCCTGTAGGACAGAGTAGAACTGCACCATAGGTTTCCAAGGAGCAGCTGGTGGATTTGAACTGCCGACCTGTTGGTTAGCAAGTGAGCTCTTAACCACTGTGCTACCAGGGCTCCATAAGTAAGTCGGGTGGGTTA